TAAAAATACCACAAGATCGTTTGATGCATAACGTTTTCTTTTCTTTTACAAAATCAGTCTCAACTTAAATATGGTGTCATAAACCTGCATTGTAAAAGGGGTCGGGACACTAGAATATTAATTTAGTTCAAGAGCTTTCAAAAAAGTGTGTGGCCACGTACCGGGAAATGGGTAGCCTCGTAAATTTACAGGTCTTAAATTAACTGCCATGTATTGTGGCATCTCCAGTAATGAACAACTTAAAAAGCTGACCAAGCTGATCATTCCCTATCTGGAAAAAACCTGAAATGACTTCCCTGGTTACTTGAATGCATATTTTGTTCATTAACTTCTTCAGAAGTTTTAAAGTTCACTCATTGCCGCCGCCATATTTTTGTTTTTGTTGAGAATTTATAATCTGTTTCTATTATTTATTGGCATTTAAATAATGGAGCTTATTTTTTAAAAACATTTTATTACATAGTTCAATTAATAATTATTTAAAGCAACATTATCACAAGGTTATAAATATAATAATCTCAGCAGCAGTAAATAAGTGTGTTCAAAATGTTTTAAATAAGTTACGTTAAGAAATAATTTGTTTCAAAATGGATTGAAAAAGAATTATTATCAATATTGGCATTTCAAAACAACATTTAACTTTAACTTAAAAGCAATGAATTAATAATCAGCCGTTATTTGTCAGTTGCCTCAATATCTTCTTTCAACAGTCTGACATGTCTTTTGTCTGATTATCTCCTCCTGCAATGTCACCTTTCTGATGTTCAATTGTTCGCATATGTTTGATATCTTGAAGAGATAATTGTAGAATTGTGGACACAAGATCGGACTTAGAAAGTTTATGTTTTTTAGGCAGCATTGTCTGGTTGCCAGATTTCTCCAAATCTCCAGATTGCGAAGATTTTGCCAGTGAATATTTCTTCTCTACATCTTCATCTTGATTAGCCATTTCATTATTTGGAAATTGTTTCAAAATATTATTTGGAACATGTGCTTCAGCACCTCTATTCTGGCCCGCGTCCTGTCCCACCCCTGTGACACCTGTGTTAGAAACATCCGGAACCCACTCACTGGAGGCATCTAAGGAAGTCAATCCTAAGGATACAAACATTTTCTGCTCTTCAGGACTGAGCAGCATATGATCATGGGGTTGATTGTAATGTTTTAAATCAATATCTTTCTTTGTTTTATCTCCCTTTTGTTCTTCTCCAGTTGTTTTACCCCCCTTTGGTTTCTCTCCCTTTGGTTTATCTCTCCTTGGTTCATCTCTTTTGATTTTGTGATGTTTTTTCAGCCCAGCATCATGTTTAATTTTTATCTCTGCTGCAGAGGATTCAAGGGTCTCTGGCTCATCGACTCCAAAATGACAATTAGTTTCCGTGAGATTAATTTGACTGTTTGTTGTTAGTCTTCTTTGATCATGATCTTCGTGTATGTTTTTGTCCTGACTGGAATTTAAGTAATTTCTCCCATTCCCTTGTCCTGACCCTGTCTTACTATCACTGACACTGCTGGAACTGAGGCTGTTTTCCATTGAGACTTCGTTTGGTTTCTGGTTTCTTAACTGTTGCATTCGTTCAATTTCAGCTTCAACAATACCATAGCCCGACTGGTGAATCTCATTATAAATAGTTACCGATGATGCTTGCTCTTTATCGGCCTTTTCATTCAGGTCTGACTCTTTTTCCGATTCTTGCTGTGCATGAGACCTTGAACTGTGCTTGCCTTCAGTTGTATCACCTGACCTTTGTTTATTTTTAGACTCATCATCAGTCATTGCCAACACTGCAGCGTCCAACGTTTTCTTGTCATTACCTTCATAATGAGGTTTGGACTTGGGAGTTGATGTTGGCTGTTTGAAATCATCCATGGCGATAGGATCAAATGGGCTATCTTGATAATCAGTTTTTTCCTCTTGTTCTCTGTTGGTCATTTGATGATAGAGTGACAGAAACAGAGCCTTAAGGCCAACTTTTCCATTGTATGTGAATTTACGCCTCTTCCTGTCAACAATATATTGAACATGAAATAAAAGTTTCTTGTTAAAAGCTCAAACAGTTTACAATGATCTAGTTACCAAACTGAGAAATTGTTTCGAAATAAAAATGAGAAAAAAAGACAACACTTAAATCCAAACTAAAAATGGACATGAAATGATAATAAAAATTGCAATTCCCTGCTGATGTCTTTAAGTTATTCTCAAACCTTTGACGTGACATTTTAATAATTGTGATTCTGACAGGGATTGTAAATAGGTTTTTCATTTCACTCCCCAAACTGTAAACAGTTTTTTCTTAATGCTACTAAAATCAGGGACATAATAATTTAAGGGTAAATGCGATAACATAGACTCGCATGTAGATATAACAAAGACTGAATCACATATAGTCATAACATTGACTGAATCTCATATAGACATAACATAGAATGACTCACATGTTGACATAACATAGACTGACTCACATATAGACATAACTTTGACTCACATATAGACATAATTTAGACTGACTCACATATAACATAACACAGACTGGTTCAAATGTAAACATAACATAGACTAACTAACATAATGACATGTCATAGCCTCACATATAGACCAAACATGATTTGATTAATCTCCAGAAATAATATAGACTAAATCATTTCAGCATATAAACATAGAAACACTCACCTGTTGACAAGATAGCCTACCACTAAAGCAGTGATGACCAACACAAGCAAGATACAGACAAGGATGATAACAAGGGCAGTCGAGTCATGATTTGACTTATCCCCTGTTTGGGTTTTTAGAGACAATTACATGCAGCAGTCAAAATTTTAACGTTACAGCAATAACAAACCAAAAAAACATGTTATTATTAAAGTCATGGTTTAACATAATTATGAAAGGTCAATTCCTTGTAATATTTTCTTTTGAAGCAAATTTTAAAGTGTTTTTAAAATTGTATTTCTATGACCAAGTTAATAAATACATTAAATTGAATTTAAAATCCTGACAGTTTCCCCACAGATTGCAGACAACTTACCTCTGAGGTCCTCCATGGTTGGAGTTGTCTTCCTTATTGTTGTGGTTAAAATAGGTGGCGGTTTTGTTGAGAGATGTGTCATCCAGATGGTTGGGATGGTGGGTGGATAAACCACTATGGATGGTGTACTGTTGGCCAGGCTGGTTTTTCCAGGGATGGTTGATGTGGTGGCTGGTTTAGTGATTGGTACTATTGTGGTTGGTGGTGTAGTTGTGGTCATTGATGTGTTAGTGGCTGGTGATGTGGTTATGACTGATGGTGTGGTTGGTGGTGTAGTTGTGGTTGATGATGTGGTTGATGTTATGAATCTGTTTGGGGGTAAAGGTTTAGATGTACAAGTGACATTGAGAGCAGATCCCTGACCTGAGAAGTATGATAAATTTTGTCACTTCCAAACTCATAAATCTAATACGACAAAGGAAAACATTTGTCTCTAGCAACTTACCAACCACTTCCACCTAAACAATCTGGCAACTTACCAACCACTTCCACCTAAACAATCTGGCAACTTACCAACCACTTCCACCTAAACAATCTGGCAACTTACCAACCACTTCCACCTAAACAATCTGGCAACTTACCAACCACTTCCACCTAACAATCTGGCAACTTACCAACCACTTCCACCTAACATTCTGGCAACTTACCAACCACTATCACACTAAATTTCGGGCAACTTACCAACCACTATCACCCTAACATTCTGGCAACTTACCAACCACTATCACCCTAACATTCTGGCAACTTACCAACCACTATCACACTAACATTCTGGCAACTTACCAATCACTTCAACCCAAACATTCTGACCATAAAGGCCAAAATCAGAGTATGTAACACTGACTTGGCTGCTATCTTCTGATGGAGGCATAAACAGATTGGTGTTCAGAATGTGAAGATTTCTACAATCGGAAGTCTCTGCAACAAAAAGTTTAAATATGTCAAAGGGAGGGAATCTGGACAATTTGTTTTTACCAAAATACAGATCCAATTTTTTAAAATAAATATATTCATTAAACGGATACCTGATTGATCAAATTCTTGGCAAATTTTACATGTAAAAAAATATTACTTTTTTTTTTTAGACCCACATGTATCAGCTCACTTTTTTTTTTAGACCCACATGTATCAGCTCATTTATAATTATATTTAAGCCAAATGTAAGCTTATTAAAAAAAAAAAAACAAAAAAAACTTAAATGTTATAAATTTTAATACATCTTAAATTTTTTTTNTTGTTCCCGTGATTTACCTGTACACTGGCTAGATTGCCACAACACCCCATCACCATCACTGCTGACACTGAAAACAGATCGGTACGGGTCAATGTTCATAGCTGGGTCACTCTCCCACGGTAGTTTTGCCTGAACATTTATATCCACGGCTGTCATCTTTACTTTAGAACCCTGACAGAGTTTCAAAACACAAATGAACTTTTGGTGCACTAGCATTTATAAAGTAGGTGCTGAAAGATAATTTTACGGTAAGTATAGAAATAGAAACCACAATGTTAAGAAACTCTTGTTATTGAGCGGGATGCACTTGATCCTAATGGACTCTTATTTGTTCGTTTTTAAGTGAGAAGAAATTTTACAATTTATATCATTAAGAGTGCAGGCCTGCACAAGATACGGCCCCCGGAGCCCATGCGGCCCGCCAGCACACTCGCTTTGTGGCCCGCGAAGACTTTGATGAAAATTCATATTATACATTAAAAATAATATTCCCTAGCTTATTGATTTATAATATTACGAAAGGTATGTATGCAGAAAATAATATAAATATTTATTTCATTTTTAAATAATAAATAAATGTATGCTATTATTTTGGGGGATTTTCCCCCACATTTACTTGAAATGAATGTGTTCTAAAATTAAATCAAACAAAATTATTAAATATTAATCGTTGTGTAAATATTAACTACATTTTACTAAAGCGATATTTACAAACACACACACTCACATGCACGCACGCACACACGCACGCACGTGTGCATTTACTATTTCGCGAGGGAAATCGACTACAGTTTCCCGCGCGTATGTATTCTCAATCAACATAACCTACTCGGTAGCATGTGTTCAAAAAATAGTGTATTCTGTGCAGAGGAGCCTTATACTATTTTTGTAATATTGTGTAGAATTGTGTAGTGTTGTGTAGATCTCACGTATCGTGTTATTTTGATATTCTGTGCGTTTAGTTTGGTAATACTCTTATAGACGTGTACTTGGAATATTTAAGCGCCATGAATCAAAGCAGATAGAGAAAACTAGATACTAAGCACAGAATTTGTAATCCTTAATGGACAAATAAATAATTATTTACAGTGTCGCCAAACCGGAAAAATATCTTTAATGAAGTGATAAAGAGCTTGAGAGATAAGTTGGGATTAGATGTTATAAAATTAGTGGCCATTTGTACCGATAGTGCCAGGAATATGACGGCATAAAAGAAGGAACAGTTGCCCTTCTTGGAGATGTGATCGGAAGGCAAGTTGCACAAGACCATGGCATTATACATGTGCAGGCCTTGTGTAGCCAAATGTTACATTTAGAACATGTTATATCGGTTGTCGTCAAAATAGTCAACTATATAAGATCAAGAGAGCTCAAACATAGGGTTTTTCAAGCTTTTCTTGACGATATAGACGCCGACCTAAGAGACGTACTCTACCATGCAGAAGTGAGATGGTTAAGCCGAGGGACAGTGTTTCAGCGATTTGTTGCTTTGAAGAGGGAAATATCTAAATTCCTAGAAGACGAAGCAAAGGAATTCCCTGGGGAATTCCCTGAGCTTGAAGATGAGTCCTGCAATCATGACCTCTTCTTCTTTTGTAATCTTACACCACATCTAAATGACCTTAACGTCCGACTTCAAGGTAAGCAACAACTTGTAATTGAAATGTTTACAGCAGTAAAAGCTTTTAAACTGAAAATGAAACTTTTCAAAACCCAGTTAATAAATGGGGAAATGAGTCACTTCTCCACTTGTGCACAACACATTCCTCAATACTAACACGTCGAGTTGCTAATGAAATTAATCTTGTGATAGAAGAATTTGATAAAAGATTTACTCTTTCTAAAGAAGACGAAATTCAGTTTAAACTAATTGAAGATCTATTTTCTATGAATCCCGAGGACATACGAGTTCAATTGCAGCTGGAGGTTATCAAACTACCAAGTACAGAGAGAGAGAGAGAGAGAGAGAGAGAGCAGCCTGCAGGAGTTTTATAAAAATCTGGACCGTGAGAAGTGCACAAATCTTGACGAAGTTGCACTCAAAACTTTTGTTGTATTTCGAAACACTTATCTATGTGAACAGACATTTTCAATAATGAACATAGATAAATGCAAGCCACGCCCATGTTTGAGTGGTGATCATTTGGAAGACATGTTGAGAACAACCACTTCCAATATGGCTCCGACAAACTTGTTACCGAAAAACGATGCAATGTTACACATTCAATTTATTTCGCAAGTAATGAAATATTCTTTATTATCATCTTAATAGCTGTCCTAAATTCTTTCTGCCCGCAAAAGTTTTTCATAAAGTATTATGGCCCGCCTTACATATTGAATTTTGCAGACCTGCATTAGAGAATGCAATTTTTGATATGCGCCTTACTCATTTGAAAATTAGTTTATCATGTGTGATTATTTATAACAATAAAATTGTGGTTAATAAGCATGTGTATGCTAATATGATAGACGCATACATATGCAAATATGACATAAGCATGGATATGGTAATATAATAGATGTATCGATATGCAAATATGATAGCAGAATGGATATTCTCATATGACAGAAGATTGGATATGAAACATAATAATTTTTTTTATTTCATTAGTTAAAATCATATTGTATTGAGACACCAAAGAAATGAGTGATTTATAAATACAAATTCTGAGATGTTGAACATTTAAAAATTTTAATAGATGACCTACTTTGGAGGACACATTTGTTAGGGCTAATTAACGTATAGTTATGAACAACTTTTAAAGTGAATTAAGTTTTTGTAACATGATGCTCCCATGACATTTGAGATTGTACCAGTCAATGAATGCCGGTACAATGATGATGAGATTGTGCCAGTTAATAAATGCCGGTACAATGATGTTGAGATTGTACCAGTCAATGAATGCCGGTACAATGATGTTGAGATTTTACCAGCCAATGAATGCCGGTTCAATGATGTTAACATGTATCTGGCCTCTAAACTACACGTACACAGTAGGCTACTTTGACATTAAATAGTTTCTAACCTGTATTGTACACATACACAGTGTACCGGTCGGTGTAGATTTGGGAAAGTTTGGACTGGCCAAATAAGCATTGACCGATTGGAAAGGTGACTTGATGATTGAGCTGGTTCCACACAAGTCGAGAACTGCGGATTCTGTAAGAGAAGGGAATAACCCAATTTACTGTCCAAAACGGATAGATCTAGATTTGCTCTGTAGTGGTCAACACAATAGGCCCCCCCTCCTGCACCATCTTTAGTGGTCAACATAATAGGGCCCCTCCTAGATTTGCTCTGTAGTGGTCAAGATGATAGGGCCCCTCCTAGATTTGCTCTGTAGTGGTCAAGATAATAGGCCCCCCCTCCTGCACCATCTTTAGTGGTCAACATAATAGGGCCCCTCCTAGATTTGCTCTGTAGTGGTCAAGATGATAGGGCCCCTCCTAGATTTGCTCTGTAGTGGTCAAGATAATAGGCCCCCCCTCCTGCACCATCTTTAGTGGTCAACATAATAGGGCCCCTCCTAGATTTGCTCTGTAGTGGTCAAGATGATAGGGCCCCTCCTAGATTTGCTCTGTAGTGGTCAAGATAATAGGCCCCCCCTCCTGCACCATCTTTAGTGGTCAACATAATAGGGCCCCTCCTAGATTTGCTCTGTAGTGGTCAAGATGATAGGGCCCCTCCTAGATTTGCTCTGTAGTGGTCAAGATAATAGGCCCCCCCTCCTGCACCATCTTTAGTGGTCAACATAATAGGGCCCCTCCTAGATTTGCTCTGTAGTGGTCAAGATGATAGGGCCCCTCCTAGATTTGCTCTGTAGTGGTCAAGATAATAGGGCCCCTCCTAGATTTGCTCTGTAGTGGTCAAGATGATAGGGCCCCTCCTAGATTTGCTCTGTAGTGGTCAAGATAATAGGGCCCCTCCTAGATTTGCTCTGTAGTGGTCAACATGATAGGGCCCCCCCTCCTGCACCATCTTTACGTCAACAAAATGATGAAGACATTGAAATAGATTCTTACTTTCAATGCATGCGTACTGTACACTGGTGGTGATGTCTGCCACAGACTGCAGACAAGGGGTGATGTGTTTGGCCAGGGTTGCACTCGTCTCTTCCCTGCATCCCTCAGACCCCGGGGGTCTAGGTCCATTACAGTTGGCCACCAAGTCAGTGTCGTAAAAGACTGTTGAGCAAGAAGTGAGACTGGGCTCACAGGCGCTGGTGCTCTCCCTTCTAGGTGAATAAATCTCTTGTAAGATTTGAACCCACTGCTCACTTGAACATGTCAGTGGCTCTGTGACATTCGCCGGGCTGCAGACATTTGTGCTGTAACTTGGAACTGTTTGATGTAAAGAACAATTCATAAGGCCATTTAATGCCAAGCTGTAAGAACTAAAAACATGTTAAATATAATTTTATAACAGTACATTGGAGTATTCTTGATAGGATGTCATACAATTATTGAGGATAATATTTCAGGAACATAGTTTTACAAATACGCCATGGGCGAATGACCAAAAATGAAATCATAATATTCTACTCTTTAAAAAAGATCAATTCAGTTTTCCCCAGAGTGAAATAAGTTTAGATAATTTCTAATTCTAATTCAGTGGTTTCCAAAGTGAAAGCTGACACTATATGTAAGTCTAACTTCAGTGGCTCCCAAGTCTGAAAGAGTTGTCCCCAAAGAGATAACAATGAAATATAACTACGTATTTAATAAACACTTAGTAACTAGGTTGGGTAAGTGTTGAGGAGGATAGAATGATGGGGTGTAACTGTTGTGCGTATCTGGTGTATGTTTTGGTGCAGAACCTTGTGGAATGTTTGTTGTCAGAATAGGATGATTAATTTGTGTAG